TGTCTATACATTCTTTTTTTCTACTGTGACTAAGTTAAAGTTACAACATCATATAAGGCCAACATATGCCGGGTTTCTGTTCTCGTAACTAAAAGGCTCAGGGGTCACTCTAGTTAAACTGGGCTAACTGGGCTGCACGAAATAACCACACAAGAGACACAAATACCTTTTACTTTGGGGTCGCTGTGACAGCTCCTCTGACCTTAAGGGTCTGCAGAAAGAGAGAACGAGAGGTGCTGACCCCTTTTATTGAGGAGAAGCTATTCAAAAGAGGCAAGGGGTCAGGTTTCAGGGGGCTGAATCTATCTTCATGATATCCACTGTCAGCATGTTGACTGACACCTGGGTAGGCCACACCCAAGGGCACAGTAAGAGGAGGGGACACACACAAGGCACTTCCATGGAACATTCTATCCTAAACAGGGCAAGGGGGAATATTACAAAGGAACAGGTGAGCATAGCTTCACCCATAGGGCTGTAGCAAGACACACCCATTTCTGTGACTGAGTGCCTCAGCACCCAGCTGGGGAGTGTAACTCAGTCACCCGTGAGGTTGGCCTCCCACAAACATACAAGCAAGTTCTTAAAAGAAGTTAACTAGTATAGAGAAACAGTTTTATTCTCCTAGGAAAGCAAATTTTATATCCATGGCAATAGATCAAATAAATGTTAATTTTTCCTTTTAAAATACAGTGCTCCCTTTCATGGCTCCTTTGAGTCAAATACTTTGAGGCAAAACTCAAATATTAGTTATTACAGAGACTAGTTTAAATCTTCACTTGTAGGATTAAATGATTTCAAAGCAACATCAACAAGTCATTTCAAATCCTTTTTCTCTTCACCTTTCTATGTGCCTGAGATTCAGTAAAAGTGTAGTTGATATAAAACCTGACATAAATAATCTCATTATGTCTGACATTAATAGTCTTATCATGGCTTACTATGGTTAACATTTCAAATGGCTCATCCTGTTGTTTAATCAGGATGATTAAATAATCATGACTCAGAAACACAGCTGCAAATGAAAATAGTTAAACCTACAGATTGTAGAGAGTACCTACTAAGCTCAGCTGGAGATAAGGCTGAAACAGATGGTGATCATATAAATATATTTTAATATAATTTGTAGGTTAAGAGTGCTTATATTTAAACTTCATAATTTTAACTATAGCTTATAAAAGAAAAATTTTCTAAACTTTTTAAGTTTATCATGAGATTCAAAATATTTATACATGATAAATAATACCTTGAGTTATAGTTTCAGGAGAATCCAGTGTCTAAGAAGTGACTGCATTAGTTGAGAATTGTCAAGAGACCACAGAAAGAGGCAAATAGATCCCAGATTGCACAGAGTACAAGTTACTGGGGACTTACTGACACAACCATGGTCAAGAGTGACAACAAGACTAGTGGATCCACATCAATGTGGGCTTAGAAAGAGTGGCTTTCACCCAAGTAGAAGTATACCTGGACTTATCACAAGCTAACATCAAAGATGTCAGGCATATTCCTGGAGCTGACAGTACTAGGGTCTGGTCGTAAAGCTTCACGTACCTCTCTAGCGATTTTGTTAATCTGTCATAGTCTGGGTAACTATAAGGCAAATAGGCCAGAGGTTTCTCAGAGCACCCATGGTGGCTACAATTCAAGATGGTTGCAGTCAGGTTCACTTTATACTAAGATAAAAAATATATATAAGTCTAATCTACTTCAGATAATGTAGTTTTTAAAAATATCATTAGTAATAAACACAATTATTTTCAATATTATGGCAGTTCAATTATTTGAGAGAAATCATTTTTCTTTTCTCTTTCTACTCTTTAAAACAATTTCAGATAATGGAGAGCTTAATATTAATCAAGAATTAAAACATGAGGTGACCTCAAACCTATTGAATTGGTAGATGTGACGTTTCAGCCCCATCATAAAGCCTAAGGTTGGAAAATTCAAATTATTTACTTTTATTTCAATATAACTGAATCTAGCTTAGAATATGAGACCTTTAGCTTAGTGTTCTGTTAGAGACTCTTCTGTTACTATAACAGCATAACTGAGACTGTTTATTTATCAAGAAAATAACTTAGTTAGCCCATAGGTTTGGAGGCTGAAAGTCCAAATAGGGTTGTACCAGCTCTGGCAAGGGAAAGGGTAAGGGCCCCTCTTGCTACTTTACCTCATGGCAGATAGCATCATGGTGGGAGCATGTACAGGAATGACAGATCATATTGCAAGATGGGAATCCAAAGAGCCACTGGGGACGACTTGAGGTCCTAGGAGAACTATGCAATCCCTGAGAACCTAAGTACTTTCCACTAGCACCCACCTCTTAAAGTCCCAGCAGCTAGACACTACTACTGGGGACCAAACCTCCAACTATAAGCCTTTTAGGGACATAAATTATATAAAAACCATCTCATGGTCTTTCTCACATGTTTCTGGTTCCTTTCACCTCCTTGGTTGGATTAATTCCCAGGAATCCTTTTAGGATATTGTGAATGGGATGGTTTTCTTGATTTCATTCTCAGAAGAGTCACTGTGGAAATACAGAAAAGCTATGGATTTATGAATGCTGCTCTTGTGTCATGCTACTTCGTTGAATTAATTTATCAGCTCTAGTCTTCTGGTGCAGTGTTTGGGGCCTTCTAAGTATAGACTCATGTCATCAGCAAACAGAATGTTTGACTTCTTTATTTCCTATTTGTAAATCTTTAATTTCCTTCTCTTGCCTGATTGTTCTGGTTAGGATTTTAAGAACTATATTGAATAGAAGTTGTGAGGGTGAACATCCTTGTCTTGTTCCTGCTTTTACAGAAAATGGTTTCAGTTTTTCTCCATTCAGTATGATACAGGCTTTGGGTTTGTCATCTAAAGCCTTTATAATGTTGAGGTAAGTTCTTTTTTTTCCTAGTTTCTCCATTCATGTTTTTAACATAAAGATGTGTTGAAATTTATCAAAGGACTATTCTACATCTATTGGGATGATTATGTGATTTTTGTTCTTAATTTTGCTCCAGTGGCAAATTACATTTATTGATTTGCATATGCCGAATCAACCTTGCATGCCTGGGATAATACATTTGATCATGGTCTATTATCTTCTTGATGTTTTTTAATGGCTTGCTGGTATCTAGGATTTTTGTGTCTGTATTCATCAGTGATATTGTTCTGTTAGTTTTCTTTCCTTGATGTGTCTTTGTCTGGTTTTGGTATCAGGATTATACTGGCTTCACAGAATGTATTTGGGAATGTTCCCTCCCTTTTAATTTCATGAAATAATTTGAGAACTACCGGTATTAGTTCTTCTTTAAAGGTTTGGCTGAGAATACATCTGGTCCTGGGCTTTTCTTTGTTGGAAGTTTTTGTGCTGTTACAATTTCACTACTTGATATTTGTCTGTTTAGGTTTTCTATGTCTTCCTGGTTCAACTTGGGCAGGTCATATTTGTCCAGAAATTTGTTGGCATCACCTGGATTTTCTAGTTTATTGGAGTATAAAATTTCAAAATAGTTTCTAATGATTGTGTGTGTTTTAGAAGTGTCTGTGATGATATCTCCCTTTAAATCTCTAATTTTGTTTATGTGGGTCTTTCTTTTGGTTAATTTTGCTAAGGGTTTATCAATCTTATTGAGCTATATTGCATTGATCTCTTTATTGCATTGATCCTGTATATTTTTATTCTCAATTAATTAGGACTCTGCTATTAATTATTTCCTGTCTTCTAATCATTTGGAGTTAATTTGCTCTTCCTTTTCTAAAGCCTTGAAGTGGAACATAAGTTTATTTAGGATCTCTCTATTTTTTTAATGTACGTACTCATTTTTTCTCTTAGAACTGCTTTCCTACTGTCCAAGAGATTTTGATGTCTTCTATCTCTTATTTGTTTCCTAAAAATTTCTGGATTTCTTTTCTCATTTATTTATTCTATGATAATATTTTATTTAAAATAATGGTGTTAAATCTCCATGTGCTTATGTAGCTCTCTTTTCTTTTTATATTTATTTCTAGTTTTATTCCATTATGATCTCAGAAGAAGGTAAATTCAGTTTTTTTCTGGTGAAATACTCTGTAGAAGTCTATTAGGTACATTTGATTTATAGTATTAAAGTCAGAAAAATCCTTATTAATTTTATATTTGGATGAGCTGTCTGCTGGTGATAGAGGTTGTTGTAAACCACATGGTTGGATCTTGTTTTTTGATCCAACCCATTAATCTGTGTCATTTAACTGGGGAGTTGAGAACAGATGTGTTCAGGGTTATTATGAATATGTGTTTGTAGTTTTCTGATATTTAGGTTTGTTTACTACATTTAATTCTGTCTTAATTTTCATTTAGTTGGTTGCTCTTCTCATGGTCACCATCTATTTAGGAGCTTTGGGGATTATTTTTGGGTACATCTTTCTGTAGTTTATCTTTGAGCATTCTTTGTAGTGGTTCTTTGGTGATCATAAATTCTTAACTTTACATGAAAGTTATACTTTCTGCATCAATTTTGAAAGAGCTTTGCTGGATTTAGAAATCTTGACTGACAAAATTTTTCTTTAAGAGCTTTCTTTGAATATCTCATTCTGGGCCTTGCTCTTCTTTAGGATCTGAGTTCAGGAGTCAAAAGTGAGCCTTATTGGCTTGCTCCTAAATGAGACCTGATGGTTTTCTCTTGCAGCTTTTGGTGCTCTTTCCTTCTTTTCTATGTTAGGTATTTTGATTATCGTGTATCTTAGGTTCTATTTTGATCTTGTCTATTTGAGTGGGACCCTATATGCCCCCTCTATGTGGATGCTCCCTCATTTCTGATATAAGGACATTTTTCTTTTACTGTCTCATTGAAAATGTTCTTAGGGCTGGGGATGTGGCTCAAGCGGTAGCGCGCTGGCCTAGTATGCATGCGGCCCGGGTTCGATCCTCAGCACCACATACAAACGAAGATGTTGTGTCCGCTGAGAACTAAGAAAAAATAGATAAATGTTAAAATTCTAAAAAAAAGAAAAGAAAATGTTCTTAATGCTGTCAGCCTGTATTTCCACATTCTTTTCTATCCCAATGACACTCAGGTATGCTCTTTTAATCCTGTCCCAGAGTTCTTGTGCATTCTGAATATGGTGTTTTATTTTCCCCCTTTATTACATGCTGAGTATTCAAGTTCCTTTACCCTGTCTATTTTTTCTTTGACCCATTAAGAATAAACTATTATTTTTGCCTGTACAGAAATGCATCACAAAAATGATATTAAAATAATAACTTCATTATAAAGATAATATTTGATGAATAGGATAAAACTTTCACTGAAGGAAAACTGAAGGATGGGATTAGGAATATTTAGCCAATACACATTAACTTTCACCATGTGATTTTGGAAATTTCAATTTGTTTATAATTCTACTTTGGAAATTCCAATTTGTTGATAACTCTCTCAGTCAGCCAGAGAATATATAAGTGCTTGAATTTAATTATCACAATAACTAATAATGCTTTTCTTTAAAAAAAAGATTTTAAATTTTATGGTAGTACAAAAGTAAAAGACATTCAGTAGAACTCATACATTAGATTTGAATTTTCACTTGTTCCTGGGCTAGCAATATGCAATACAGCACCCCCTTGACAGGGCAGCACCAGTGAGTGGCAGCTGTCTATCAGCCCCATCTGCACACTGCAGAACATTAGGTGTGGTACATGCATTTTCAATTTAACATGTTTTCAAGTTACAGAGGAATTCCCCGAAATGTAGCTCTGCTCTACGTAGAGGATCATCTCTGTTGATACATTGCACAAGGCTCAGGAGGCAGTTTAACATTTGTCAAATGAACTCCTAGGGCAACATTCTTTAAATGTACATAAGAATGGCAATATAAATAAGTTATTCAATGTACAACTTCCAACTGTAAATAAGAACATCTTCATACAACTAAGCATCAAGTCAGGACTTTTTATAATGGGCTGAAAAAAAAAATTAAAGAAATACTCTTAAGTTCTAAATAGCTGGTGCTGGTGTCATGGAAGTGATTTCAGTGATACTTAGGATGCAAGTATGTCTCCTGGCTGTGGTGGTGATGGTCACATCAACCTATATGCATGATGAAATCACAGAGAACCATATCCGCAGAGTTGTAGGGGACTGGCAATGCCCCAGAAAAAACCTTCTTCTCCTCCTTTTTACACAAATTCTTCTAAAGATGATGAGCATTTCCTTCAGGTACATTTTCCGCACTATGTAAAAAAGTCACAACTAGTACTTTTTTTCTTTTTTGTAAATTGCTGGAGGTTTAAAAGATAAACCACATGTTCCTAGCAAAGAAATAAAAAAAGTTGACACTGAGAGAAAATTTTTAAAAAAGAAATAAAAAAGAAAAGCTGACACCTGCAGCTTCCAAAACCACTAAGAACACTTTCATTAAAATTAATTTAATTGTATAAAAATTTATATTAAATTATGTAATTCATATTAAATAATCTGATTTATCTTAAATTTTATTTAATTTCTTTACATTTTATTAAATTAATTTAAATAAAATTTAGTAAATTTTAAAATATAACATAATTAAATACAAATTAATTTTATTAAATTAATAAACAATACTAATTAAATAATAAATTTAAATTAAATATAATAAAAACAAAATTAATAAAATAAACTTAAATTAAATGTAAGAAAATTAATTTATATTTAATTGACATAATTTATTTTATATTAAATTTTATTAAATTAATTTTAATAAAAATGTTCTTAATGGTTCTAGAAACTACAGGTGTCAGAGAAACAATTGCCACATAATCTGCTTTCTCTCCTCTCCGACTTTGCCAAACTCAAGTTGGAAACTCTTGATTCATGTTTTATCTTAATTTACAAAAATAAAAAAGATTAATTTTAAATATTTCTTTTGTTAACCCAGAGAAGCGTGTAGATAAATAGTCCAGATTTTAATACAATTAAATTTAACAAATAATATCATTAAAAGAGAGGTTGAGCTGTATAGTTCACTGATACTGTTCTGATTCACAAAGTATTTAAGAATTGATTACTGCTTATGGTTACCTAATAACATCAGAACAAATTTTTATAAACAGAAAGTGCTACAGCAAACAAAATTTTTAAGAGCTACATCAAAAAAAAAAAAAAAAAAGAAAAAGAAAAAAGGAAGACAAAATACCCAGTAGCTCTATATATCAGCCTTTTTTCCTTATCTTTTTTAAAAAAAATACAGGACTTTCTTTCCAAAATGCCAAATTGTGAGAAGTACCTTGGGTTTATGGCTTCTTTAAAGTGCTAAATCATCTCTGGCTTGAGAATCACGTATTGCTTTAAAAGGTCCTTTAGTACAACTCTGGGGCTGTGTTCAAGGGGCATTGGCAATAGTGTACAGGTCAAATGAAGATGCCCAGGTCCATCAGGTCCAAATCCAGCTGCATTAATGAGTCACAGCTTCCAAATGGGGAGCCAAGAATGGTTCTTCTACCAGCTCTGAATTCTGCTGCATCTTTAAAACTTCCTGGTACTTTTGCCCCTTGCTTTCTCCTTCCTAGCGAGTCTAGAAGTTTCATGGCATGAACAGAAAGTTTTGGTGGTAGAATAGCTGGATGAATGTTAGGAAGGCCTTAGGCCTGAGCCTAAGCAACTCGGTTTTAAAAACTCCAGTATGAAACCTGCAGTTTCACTAGGCACACCCACAGAGTCCTCCAGTATGTCCTCAAACAAGTTGCTTCCCCTCACTCTGTTAAACAGAGAGAAGTCCCTGGCAGGCTGTCCTCTCCTGATAAGAGGGAAAGGGGATAAGATCAGGGTGGAGACCACCAGCTCAGTTGTTTCTGACCCCAGGGTAAATGATGTCGCTGAGTAATCTGGTGGTAGCTGATAAGGATTGAAAGGGGGGTCAAAAAGCCCCCAAATTTAGTATAAGTAATAGAGCAAATGAACAGGAATTCAGCCAGCCCAAACAAGGATGCACTTAAGCTGGAAAACCTGCTAAGGACCTGACATCCCATCACTTGTCATAATTTCCTGAGCCTCTGTGTGAACCTCACTGCTCTCAAACTCCACAGCCTTGTCTGGACCTTGGTGAGAGCCACAACTTCTCCCTAGGACCCTCTCCTCAACCAGTCGTCCACTGCATGCCAGGAAAAGCCTGCCTTGATTCTGGACCTGGTCACCGCAGTCTGAGTTAGTGTGCATCATATGGACTTAAAGCCCAAGGCTTAGGACTTTTGAATTTAGCATGCAGAGGAAATGTCTGTCATTAGCCTATCATGATTAAGTGTGTTTTGCAGTGCTTAGAATTAATCTAGAATTGTTTGCTGTGAATTGATTATGTCTATTGCAATGCCTAGCATTAAGGATTGTTGTTTTCTTAAGAACCTATAGAGTGAAATTAGTAATTTGAGTGAATAAAGCATTGAAAGGGCCAGAAGTATATGAACATTCTTTATTTCTCCCCTCAAGTGCATACATTGCAATTTTGCCCCCTAGTGACAACGAAATTCTGTTTCCAGAGACTGAACCAAAAGTCCTGAAAAAGAACTATTAAGCATAGTTTTCTCATCTGGTCTCAAAGGTATGCTGGGGAAACTTTTGGATCTTCTCATTTAAAACGTTCTCTTTCCATAGTGAAGTCTAGAGTTGCTGCTAGAGGTCAAGGACATCCTAGGTGTATGAAACTGGAGACATTCTAGCAGGAAGAGCTCGCTCGTCTCTCCATGTCTTTCTGCTGGATAATTTGAGTAAGTTTCTCAACCTCATCTTTTGACAGCTGAACAATCTGTTTGGTTAAAGATATATTCCTTTCATTCAGAAGTTTAATTTCAAGTACTCGTTCTTTGATTCTTTTCACAAATTTTTCCATTTTGGCTTTACACATGTCATGGTTTTCACTCCCATTTTCTATATTAAGGCTTTTTACTTTTGTTTCTTGGAAAATATCAGCATTCTCTGTTTGAATGACTTGTCTCTCTTCATGCCCCTGGGCTTTTATTTGTTCAATGGTTCTCTGCAAGTTCTTAATTTCCTTGTCTTTTTCTAAAAACAATTGGGTATGTGCAGCCTTCATCTGCTCATACTGGTATTTAAATTCATCCATTTCCTCCTTCTGCTGCTGTAGAGACTGAAGTAGTTGCATTTGACTCTGGTTTTGATCTTCAATGACCTTTTGATGGTGTGTAACTTCCTCTTCCAGATGATTCTTGATGATATTCAGTTGAGAAACCTCAGATTCTAGTTCTGTGATACTATCGAGGGTTTCAGGCTCAGCCACAGCTCCAACTCGATTCTGCTGTTCCCTAAGTCTTTCCAATTCTTCTTGCAGATGACTGTTTTCTTCTTTCATGGAGCTAAGACTTCTGTCTTTTCCCTCTATGGTCTGCCTTAAAGTTTCATTTTGTTTTAAGGCCTGAGAACACTTATCTAAATCCTTTTGCAGTGCTGAACTTTCTTGTTTGAGTTGGCCAATAAAAAATTCTTTCTCATTTATAAGTTGCATCAATTGCTTCTGTTCTTCTAAACGAGATGCCAACATTTCCTTAGTTTCTTTTTGATCAGTAGCCATTTGCTCAATATTCTTCTTGAGTCCTGCTATTTCAAAGTCCTTCTCTTGACTGAGTTGCACTGCACGCTCCTGTTCCAGCTGTAAGGCAGAGGTATTACAATTACATACATTTGAGAGTTCCTGAATAGTCTGCCTATAATTGTTTGCTTCTTCCAACAGTTTCTTTTTGGCCTGACACAGTTCTACTTGTATCTGTTCTTTCTCTGTTTTCAGAGTCTCCATAATAGTGTCTTTTTGTAGAGAAATTTGGTTGTTACCAGCAATAGATTCTTCCAACTGATGCCTTACATCTTCACATGCTGAAATTAACTTGTCATTTTCCGTTTTCAGATCAAAAGCAACTTTCTTTAAATTTTCATTGAGCTGTTCTACTTCTGCAAGATTTTGCTTCAAGTTTGTAATTTCGACTTCCCCTTCTTTAAGCAAGTCATCCTTAAAATTAGAGTCTTCATTAACAGCACATCTTAACTCGTTCTGAACTCTACATAGTTCCTCTTCCTTTTGGCTAATGTATTCCTTAAGTTCCAGGTTTTCCTGCTGGATATTTAAACTACTTTTTTGTGACTGACTTAGCTGATTTATTAAATCTTCGACTTTATCTTCAAGCTTCTGCTTGGTTAAATGCAAATCACGGAGGCTCAGTGCACTCTCAGTTAACTTTTCTTTCTCTACATGCAACTCTTTAGTTATGTCCATTTTATCCTCCTCAAGTTGATGAACTCTCTCTTTTTTGTCATCTAGATCTTGTTTCAAATTCGTGGTTAGACCATCTCCTTCATTTTGCTGTTTTGATAGCTCATCTATTATCAAATTCATGTGCTTTGTAGCTTCCTGGTTCTCATTGTCCAGTTCTTCTAACTCAGCTATCAGCATTTCCTTTTCATTAATACTTTCATTCAGTTCTTGCTCCTTAGCATCCATGTTAAGTGTTAAGTCATGTATTTGTACATTCAAATTCATGTCTGTTGAAGCCGAACTTTTAATGACTTCATATTCCCAGCTCAGTTTGCAAAGTGATATCTGAAGTTCTTCCTTTTCTTGACTCAATAATAATTTCTCTTTTTCTAAAACTTGGACATGCATTTGAAGTTTCAGATTGTCTTCAGCAAGACTGGTATCTTGTTTTAAACTATTCAGTCTCATTTTTTCATTTTCAGCATCAGACAGGGCTTGTTGTATTCTCAATACTTCTCCCACTGATGAACTCTGTGGAGAAATTGTTTCTGCCACAGGATCACTCTGCTCCATCACAGAAGGCTGCAATTTAGTACATTCCAATTTCAAGTTTTCACATTCTTCAATCATTTGTTGCTTTTCCACACTGAGCTGTTCTTTATTTCTCTTCAGGACATCTCTATCGTTTTCTGCAGAAGACAATTTTTCACTTATGTCTTTTATTGTATCCTCAAGTTCTTTGATTCTTCTTGTGGACTCTAGTTTTTCAGTTTGTAGAACTTGAATAGTGTTTTGCATTTCCCAGACTTGAGACTCATCAGTGACTGTAACTCCTGAGTCACCTTGGTTTAACAGCTTTTCCAGTTCTGCAATCCGTCCTTCATAGTCATTTGACTCCTGTTGATGCTGGTGATTTAACTCTGCCAGTTTCTTTTGATGTGCATTCTGCAAAACAGACATTTCATGTTGGTGATGATCCATGTCCTGACTTCGGTTTTGTTCCAGGACCTTAATAGTATGTTGTAGTTTGCAGATTTCACTGAGTCCATTACCAGATGAACAAGGTGCACTGGTTGCTGGTACACCACCCGCTCCTGAAGGTACTGATTGAGCAGCTGACTGCAGGCTCAACAACTGCTCCTGTAGTGCCATTTGGTTTGCTTGAAGATGGCTGATTTCTACCTGTTTCTGTTGCAGTTGGTTTCGGTAACTTGTAGATTGAAGGTTTATTTGAAGCTCTGATGCTTCATGCTTTTTTTCCAGATCAGTACAATGTTTTTTAAGTCTTTTATTCTCAGATCTCAACCTTGATTTCCTGGCTTCAATTTTCTTTCTCCGACAATGAAGTGAATGGGCTTCCAGAGCTTTGGAGACCTCCACAGGCATATCTATGGTGCAGTTGGAGACTTGGCCAGTGGGGGAAGCCAAGCTGCCTCCCACCTGACCCAAGGACTGGCCCAAGCCAGAGCCTAGGCCTCTAAACAAGGATGACATTGCTAGAGCTTCAGAGAGCCATCAGCTCCTCTCTGAAAACCACTCTATGGCCATCCACCTTCCAGCTGAATGTCCTGGAGCACTGTAGGGGTCAATTATGACCAAAGCATTCAGAATTCTGGGCAGTGCAGGGTTCCTGACACCCTTGGCACTCTGCCTCAAATGTAGAGGCCTAGCCTGGGCTTTGACCAGGAACTTGTTGCCAGGGGCACAGTAACCCCTGTGGGGCCTCTGCTCCTTCCCTGGACTTTCAGCCCTCTGGTTGGGTGACCAGCTCCGTGGGTTGGTCCTGCCACTTCCATGCTGGCCACAAGAACACTCCCATCTGAGAGCCTTTACCCTGTCTTGGAGGCCTGAAGTTGAAGGTCTGTCCTCAAGGATTCAAGTTCTGTTTTGTATGCAATCTAATCTGTTGGTGATGGTTTCCAGTGGAATTTTAATTTTTTTAAAAATATATGACAGTGGAATGCATTACAATTCTTTTTACACATATAGAGCACAATTTTCCACATCGCTGATTTTATACAAAGTTTTTGAACACCAATTCATGTCTTCATATATGTACTTCATATATGTTCCAGAAAAAAAGTAAAATGGAAATAGGAATGTAGCTCAGTAGTAGAGCATTCTTGTGTTCAATCATTAGTACCACAAACCACTACTAGCACAACAACAAAAAACAAAACAAAAACAAAAAAAGCTTAATACTAAGTTTGTATTTATTTAGACTTTACAGTGAGCCACAGTAACATTGTGAAGTAGATCACAAATGTATTTTAGAGATTATTTTAGATTACTTAGATTAGTAAAAAATTTAGATTATTTTACGAACATTGTTTGCTGTGATTCTTACATAAAGAATTTTTAATTTTTTTTATTTGTTCTAAGTAGTTATACGTGACGGTAGAAGGTAGAATATATTCTGAACATCACACATAAATGGAGTATGACTTCTCATTCCTCTGGTTGTACATTATGTAGAATTATACCAGTCATGCAATCATATATACATACATGGTAACACTATCTGATTCATTCTACTATCCTTCCTACCTCACCTCACTCCCCTCTATCTAATCCAAAGTTTCTCTATGCATCCCTACCCTACTCACTTACAGTGGGTTAGCATCCACATAGCAGAAAACATTCGGCTTTTGGTTTCTTAGAATTGGCTTATTTCATTTACTATGCTCCATCCATTTACTAGAAAATGCCATAATTTCATTCTTGTTTAAGGCTGAATAATATTCCATTGTGTATATATACCACATTTTCTTTATCTATTCATCTACTGAAAGGCATCTAGGTTGTCTCCACAACTTAGCTATTGTGAATTATGCTGCTATAAGCATTGATGTGGCTGTGTCCCTGTAGTATGCTGTTTTAAAGTATTTGGGTACAGACCAAGGAGTGGGATAGGTGTGTCAAATGGTGTTCCATGCCCAGCTTGCCAAGGAATCTCCATACTGCTTTAAAAATAGGCTGCACCAATTTACAGTACTACCACCAATATATGAGTGTGACTTTTTCCCCATATCCTTGCCAACACCTATTGTTGTTTGTATTCTTAATATCTGCCATTCTGACTGGAGTGAGATGAAATCTTAGAGACTCATGCTATGCAGAGGGCAATCTTAAGAGATGGGTCCTGAGACATTTACAAATTCTCCAATTATAGCATGCAATTCTTATCATAAAGTGCACTCAAGTGTTACTAAAACCTTTTAATTAACTCCCTAAGACCTTTATAATTCTAAAAATAGAATTTATTAATGAGAGCCAGACTCATTAATGAAGCTAATAATACAAATTCTGCTGGAAAATTTACTGAAAATTTGTGAGTTTCCTCTCCTTACTTCTTTACAGAATGCATGACAAAATTCATCATATGCATCCATGCCACTTGTCCATGTGGCACTCCAACTCCATAATTCAGCCCAAATTTCTATTTTTTATGAATAAGCACAGGTTTCTTCTTCACTTTTTCTTCAATTCTGGGGTGACATTATTTGCTGGTTGGATTTAGAATGTTTTTGTTGTTGTCTTGTTTGTTTTTTTCCTGTTTGTTCTTTTGTTTAGAGGGGGGCATTTTCCAAAGGATTCAGAGACTTTCGTGTTTCACAACAGGTACATGGATGGAAACATGAGCTAAAAACTATAAAGTCAGGCTGAGATGAGGATGCTTGCTGCTGAACAGACTCTAGCCCAGGTAAGTGATCACTCTGCAAACAATGTGTACATTGACAAAATTCAAATTATTACATTATGTGGACCACTGGAGTTCCTTGAAAGCAATCAAAACTGTATATGTAAATTCTCTAAATGTGTAAGGTCTTAAAATGATTTTTTAAAAAAATATTCCAATATAATCTACAAATATATAGCCTTTTTGAGAGACTGAGGAAATGAGACTAAATTAGTGAGAATTAGTGAGCCCTGTAAAAAGAGCTGGGCTATTTGCTTTATGATTTAGAGACATGATATTATTTATTTAATTCTTCCAATAACTTTTTGTTGTTGTTGTTCTGTTCTGTTTTTGTTTTAGTGGTATTCATCCAACTAAGGCTTTGTTCAGGCTAAGTGGGTACTCTATTGCTAAGCTCTACCCTAACCTCCTTCCCGTAGTGTTTTGAGGTAGCTATGTGATTCCTATTTTTATAAGAAATGAAAGCTCATAGAAGATTTAGACATGTTCATTATTACACAACTAATCACTGGTTGGAAAAAAATCAAAGCTCTTTCTGTCTGACCCAATAATGTATTTCTTTCTTCCTGTCTGTGTTTTTGTAGTTGGAAGGCAGAATATAAAGGTCTAAAGAGGCAACAGATTCCTCAAAGTCCTTTATTTTTCTATACCATCTAGAGAACAGCAGAGAAGAAGGAAGGAAGGAAGGAAGGAAGGAAGGAAGGAAGGAAGGGAGGGAGGGAGGGAAAGGAAACAGTCTTGGACATTAGTTTTCCCACCACTGGAGGATTAGTGTTTGGGGCCATGGCGTGGGGAAAGTATGCAGTTGGAGACTTGGATGTATGTTTGTGGGCAAAAGCCTGGGGAGCCAGCTGCCTCCTGCAGCCCCTGCCATGGGGCCTACACTACCCCTTGCTTCTGGAGCCATGATAGTCTAAACACCAAGAGAATTCACCTTTGTGAGGAAAGGGCTAAAATAGTGTTGTTGCCAGAGAGAGCATGTTTTGAAATAAATGCTTTCTTCAGCCTGGGAAAAAGGTGCAAGAGTGAACTGGTAACCCTTTTAGGTAAACTACAACTTTTAAAATGGGATGGAAGAGTGGGTAAAAATCAGATTTGGGTGACTGGAATGTCTGCAGCACTGCAGATTCTAAGGCTATGGTTCCAAACACCTAAACCTCAACATATTAAAACTTATGGAAGGTCCTGGGCCTCCAGTGAAATTGACTCTATTTTATTCCCATCTCAAATTATATTTTAAATAAAGCAAAGGAAAAGTTATATTCTTTAAGCTCATTTTCAAGCTTATTATGCACATTCACCAATTATATGAAAAAAACAGATGCCAAATTGTTACCAAAAGTCAAGTGAAACTAAGGTTAATTTTTATCTATAACTTCCACGTGGAAATCCACATAGAAATATATTTATGTTTTAAATCTAAAAATCCACATATGCATCTATATATTTTTGCATATAGACATCAAAGGACATATCAGATGTCCACTGACTTACAGATAGTGATGTCTGTAATATTCTATTGGAAATAACACTCTTTGAAGCCATCACTTCTTTCATTCAATTGCTGGGACCAGCTTTTCAAAATATATTTTAAAAGATGGTATGAGGAATATGGAAAATACAAGTGTCATGGTTTAGACATGAGGTGTCCCCCAAAAGCTCATGTATAAGACAATGCAAGAACCACCAGAGTGAAATCATTAGATTATGAGAGTTATAACCTAATCAGTGGGTTAATCAACTGATATGAATTAACTAGGTGGTCACTAAAAGCAAGTATGGTGTTGCTGGAAGACAGAGGTCACTGGGGGCATGTCTTTGGGGTTTACATTTTGTTCCTGGTGAGTGGAGCTTTCTTCTCTGCTTCTTTGTTGCCATGTCTTAAGCTGCTTTCCTCTGTCATGCCCTTTGGCCATGATGTTCTGCCTCACCTTGAGCCCAAAGCTATGTAGTCAGCCAACCAGTCTGAACTTCTGAAACTGGGATCCAAAATAAACTTTCCCTCCCATATGTTGTTCTTCTCAGGTCTTTTGGTCATGGTGATGGAAAAGGTGACTAAAACGACAATGAAGGAAACTTTGGTAAAAGAGCTACTTCTAAATTCAAACTGAAAACTCAAGGAAGGTCAAAGTCTAGAAGGGTGCTTTATGGGTACAGCAGTGGGCTTACATGGAGAGCCAGGCTAGTGGAATAGGCTCTGCTCAGGTTCAAGGTCCACTATGGGATTGTCTCATGGATCCTATTCTTTCTTCTTTTGCTTCTCCATGAATCTAAATAAACACATTCTTTATCTAGAGGGGTATGTTCACCATATGTTGTGGGCCCAGTTATTGGTTTCAGGGAAGAACCAAGTGTTGAAATTGGCTGTGGACATGGTGGTCTTCACAGCCTTTGAGGCAGAGTGTTTGCTCAGGGAGAGGAGCTGGCTGCAGGGAGGAGGCATTTGTTCCTGCTGCTGAATTTTAATGAATGGAATCTATCAACAGAGTCAGGACACTACAAGGCCTAATAGGTTCCAGGACCCTCCTGGACTGAGATGAAACTGAAGATTGGAGTCTGACACAGAACTTGTCACATTCAGTATTAACACAACCCTACCAGGTTTCTGTACTCGACTAAAAGGCTCAGAGGTTACTCCAGCTAAATTGAGATAATTGGGCTGCACAAAGGTCCCTTCAGATAAATTGAGATAACTGGGCTGCACAAAATAACCACACAAGAGACACGAATACCTTTTTCTTTAGGGTCACTCTGATGGCTCCTCTGACCTTAAGTGTCTGCAGTTAGAGAGAGAGAGAGAGAGAGCACATATGCTGACCCCTTTTACTGAGGAGAAGCTATGCAAATGAGGCAAGGGGTATGGTTTCAGGGGGCTAAGTCTATCTTTATGATGTCCACTGTCAGCAGGTTGACTGACTTCTATGTAGGCCACACCCAAGGGCACAGTAAGAAAAGGGGACACACACAAGGCACTTCCATGGAACATTCTATCCTAAACAGGGCAAGGGGGAATATTACAAAGGAACAGGTGAACATAGCTCCACCCATGAGGCTGTAGGAAGACATGCCCAGGCAAAAAACAGTCACTTGAACCCTAGAAGAGCGGGGCAGTCTAGCAGCATGGGTGCCTGACACCACATCACTCAGCAGGGGAGTTAACTCAGTCATATGCAAGGTTGGTCTCCCACTAAACCCGAAGCCACAGCTACTAATTCTCCTAAAAGGAAGGATACTCAGCCTGGTCTGTCCTGCCCTGATGCCAGATGCTACTGGGAAATAAAGGACACCTTCTTTAGCACACTGTATAAATAATGTAGAATAAGTTGCTACCATAGTTAGCAAACAAATGTCACATGTTATAAATTGTAAATACACAAATTCTATTTGCATTTTTCCCTTAAAATGAAAGACAAAACCTGCAGAAAGCAGATCTCCTTCAGCCCCAGGATAAAATAGCCCAGAATACACACAGAGCAGGCTCTACTTCTGGTCTGATCTAGTTGTGCATGGGTGGGAACACAGGTAGCAGTGGTAACTCATTCAATCTTATTCTTCCTAGGGTGTCTCTGAGTCCACTTGATTTATTTCACTGGCAGAAAGCATGTTTTTTCATCTGTCTGTGTCACTGAAAAGGGAGAGAACAAATGGATTCTATTCCTAGTGAATTATTAAAGCAAGTTGTCAGCAACTATAAATCCTGATAATAGGTGACAGCTTCAGAAGCAGAGAGATAAAACCCGGTCTGTAGAACTCGGTGGAAAAAAAGTAAGAAAATCAGTTCAATGAAAATCTGAAGAAATTCCTATTTAGATTTTGAATGTAGATTTTGATCTTCACAGTCAACTCTAATCAATAAATTAGTGAACAATAAATCCTTTTTTTAAACAGAGAGAGGAGACAGAGAGAGAGAATTTTTTTAATATTTATTTTTCAGTTTTCGGCAGACACAACATCTTTATTTCTTATTTTTATGTGGTGCTGAGGATAGAACCCAGAGCCCCGCACATGCCAGGCGAGCGAATCACTGCTT